AACAGGATCCCCCGTTTGTTATCTGTGTGGTTCATTGCCAGCCGAGGGCACCACTTTGCCCTTGGGACTGGGGGGCTTAAACTGTCTCTTCTTGTTGGTGGGTTAGGGCCTGTTTATTCTCTCCCGAAATACTGTTTCAAACCCTTTCGCACTTTTCTTTGCTTGGCATGCCTTGCGCATGTGGTGCTTCTGATGTCACGAAGCAACTGGTCCAGGTTGAAACAGAGAGTAAATCGGAAGGTGTTGGCCATGAGAGCAGTTCACATCATGTAAGCTGCTCTTGCAACTTCTGAAGCTTACCCAAGCTCATTTGCCAAAGCTATTAAGCTCCCACAGCTGCAGTGCAAAAACATGCAGAGAAAACCTCAAAATCCGCAGTCACGGTTGCGGCTTCACAGCCTCCAGACGTGAGCCCCATCGAAAGCTAGCTCCCGAATCTATTCAGGGCTGTGGCCAGTTTCTGTATCTCGCGAAACGACGTAGCCATAGCCACTCCCTCACATACTGATCACTCTTCTTGGCCAAGCGCTCAGGCCGAGTTCCAAGTTGGCTCTGGACGACGTTAGTGAAGGTCGAGCTTCAGACCGTAGTGTCCTTGTACGCGAGTATGGACTTCGCGTCAGAACACCCCCGTGGCCATCCCCGAGATTCTGGTTAGAGACAGCCAATGCAAGGCCTGCAGCTTCACGAATTGAGAGGCCAAAACCATCCGTCTCACTGGCTTCGACCAGAGCTTCGACCAGTTTCGACCAGCTTCGGCCTCTCCCAGGCACCGTCAAAGCGATCCTCGCACTCACCGGGAGAGCCCCGCATCGGCCGCAACCGAGTCTTTTGGGAAGCGATGCCGAACACGACGCCGCAAAGGGAAAGGCGCAGTGCTTCCAACCTGTGCTCATCGAGGCATCTCCGGCTCGGTCTCAAAGCCTGGTCCAGCGTGACCCCGTGCCAGAACCTCAGCCATGCGGACCATTTTTGGAGTTGGGGACGCTCACGGGCTTCCGTGGCTCCGCTCCGTCCACCCAGGAGTTTCACCGTCACTATCCCGACTCGTTGACTTCAGGTCATCGAGCCCCGATCCAGCCGCTCTTCGCCTCCCAAAGATCAGCTCCTGATTTCCGCACTCTTTTAGCAAAAACGCGCCCACATCCGGAAATGGACAGAGGACCTCCATTCTTTTCGTATTCCTTTTTTGAATGCCCCCGGCCCCCATCGGCTTTTTCCTCTTCCGGCTGTACCTTTGCCTTTGCGGTCTTCCTTGCCTTTTCTAATTCCTTGATAGCTCCCTTATTCCCAGCCGCTTGTTTTCTCTCCAGTGCCTTCTTCCGAAGCTCCTTGCATGGGAGTGGCAAGGGCAAGCTCAGGTGGAACCACAGCTTCTTTCTGCTCCTGCTGTTAGGCGGTTGCTACTTTCCCGACTCGGCTTTCACGAGCAGTTCAAACTGATGTCCCGTCATCTTAATCGGCGCGTTCCGAGAACAGCCTTGGTTCGCTTGCATGCAGCATTCTCTTCGCGGTCCGTCTTGTTAAAAGAATCTGAGCGTAAGGACACAGAGGACACTTGCAGCCCGGTTGTTCGCAAGGCTGTCCTCGTGCTCGAACGCGCAGAGTCCTTCACGTCGCTCCTGTCGCAGGTCTGAAACCGCCTTCAAACGCCTTCAGCCGTTTGCCTTTTCAGAGCTTATAGCTCCATCTCCAGAACCATCTTAGACCTCAAGAAATTTCCCGCGAGTTCTTCGTCAATGCAGTTCTGGAATCAAATTCAGGCGCACAAAGCAATTCTGCGTTAGCGACAGCCAGCCGGATCCTTGGTGTCGTCACTCGCCCAGACACTCTGCGCAATCTGCGCAATCTGCATCCTGCAGCCGACCATGCGCACTGGCCCATCACTGGCTGCTTGGATCGAAACCCCCAAAAGCATAGCCTCGGGAAGCGCCTGACCCAGGTCAGACCGAGTAGGTTCGCGCCTGATAGGCCTCAAGGAGACTTGGCTTGTCCGCCCTCTCGCGTCTCCATCAGCTTCCCCCAGCCAAAATTTGCTACCCTTACAATGTAACAAGTGGGCATTGGCTCAGGCAAACAGCTCGGCTGTTAAACTTGGAGCAACTGTATACCTATTTACCTGCGATGAACCTGTGTGTGAAGTGAAGCGCAGTGGTTTTCCTCTGGGCAATGATGGGAGGTCTACTGTAGCTGTGCTAGGCAGGTCTGTACATAGGCTCAAGGCCTTGGGATGTATGGGCAGCGGATGTAGCCCAACTGTACTGCTAGAGAATCATGTAACATCATGTAGTATTTAACAATCCTCCTCAGGATAATCTTGTATCATTCTCCTGAAATGTTGAAAATGGATATTGTCACTCCTCGTGGGTCGTCAAATGTTGTATCCAGCTGTCCGACTGCCACTCATGCGCACCGCCAAAAATCGCAGTTGTGTGAACCATGATGTTCACGCATTTCTTGGCCTCTTTCCAGACACTGCTGTAGCCTCGTCCATGTTGGTTGCTGCTGCGATGAGCTCCTCGCACAACGTGTTCACCTGGCTGATGTACTTGAGGATCTGTAGGCCCAAGCACTCCGTCACATGTTGCAGTCTGTAGGTAGGTGGCTCGAGCATGGCGTTGTAATCCCAAGCCAAACCGTTGGCCCATAAAGATGTCGACGACATTGTGTTGGCAAATCTTGTGCTCTGAAGAGGTAGGTCAAAGTTGTGAGAGCATCAAATGACTGGTGTTGTAGATCATGTGCTCGCAAAATGGCCTCCTCATGTTGGCCTGCAGTCCAGTGTAATCACACTTCAAACTGCTGTATTCCTCTGCAGTAAATGCGAGGTACAAAGGTTCTTTTGCTTCACGAGATCATTGATGATACAATGACATGCACAAAAGGGGCCTTGAGCCAAATGCTTGCGGGAGATCAACTGGATTGGGAAACAACCACAGGGGGGCGGGCGACGCCGAAACCCTGCGTAATTGACGTGTGTCTGGGGGGGGACTAAGGGGGGGGTTATCCTCTATCCTCTCTTAGGTATCCGACACGCCGAACAATGTCGGCGGATTTAAATGGAACGAAACTACCAAGTAAGAAGGGCTTTTATAGTGGTCGTTTGTAAATGTGGCTTCTCGATGTGCCACTCCAGATGTCAGCGATGTAAACAAGTGCGTGCCGTATCGCCTTCCGATGTGCTCATCTGATGTAGCAAGCGCTGTCAAGGCCTGCCTCACGGATGCAAAACGTGAAAAAGGGTGCAAATCCATGTTTGACGTGTATCTTGCCGAAATCCATGTAAGGGGGTTGTAGAACTCGAAGAAAAGATGTACCATGGCTCCGGATTTCCTAAGTGAAGCTAGGTCGCCACAAGCGCTTGAATGTTAAGTGTTTCCACTGGATCGCCAAGCACTTGAAAGTATTTTACCACTGGATTGAAAAATCAAGATTGAAGATTACACAGAACATTTTCCTGAGAACCAAACAACGAAGATTCGAGATTGAAATATTTCACGGAAAGCTTGTCCGAGAATCTTATTGAACACAAACCTGGAATTCTTAAAAAGTTCTCAAAATTCTGGGAGTCAAGATTCAAGGTTCAAGATTCCCAGAAAAAATATGTTTTGAAATCTTGAATCTTGAATCCCATATTTTTTTTATTACTTTCTTTTTTTAAATATGAGATTCAAAATTACCAGCTAAAGATTATTTTGAAATCTTGAGTCTTGAATCTTGAATCCCATATCTTTTTACAAATTTCATATATGAGATTTAAAATTCAATATTCCAAAATAATATTTTTCTGGGCATCTTGAATCTTGAATCTTGAATCCCATATTTTTTTCAAAACAAAGAATATGGGGCGCACGATTCAATATTCCAGGAATCCAGAAAAGATTGTTTTGAAGCATTGAACGTCTCCCAGCAATCTTGGGTCCAGAATTCTTAATTGTAGAATTGGGCACACCCCCGTTCCCTGGTGCCCAAGTTTGGCCAAAAAATGCAAACTTACCGGGCAAATGACTGAAATCAAGCAAGACCTAGGCACCAGGGGGGGCGTACCATATTCATATATATTATACATATATGTATATCTTAAATGTTGGCAACTCATATACACATATATACATATACAGCGTAGCCCACAGCCTGCCAGCACGCATCGAAACACGTCTGAAACAAGTTTGTCGCGGGTTGCAACTAATGTACAAATGATGTACACAAATTGTCACTCAAGAAGGGGCAGTTGCTCATGCAACCGAGCATCCCGCTTCCAGCTGCGCCTCCCTGCTCGGCCTCTTACCCCGAGCTGGAACCAAGGGACCTCGGACCGCCACAGATTGCACCCTTCAAGCCACCCCATCTTTGCCACTCCGGGAGTTGATGAAGGTCCCGTCTCCGCTCAGAAGCTACCTACGCAACCCTATTCCCCTATCTCCTTCCAAAGGGTTGGGTGGTCACTTTCTCAACACAGCCCCGAACCGTGACAGGAGTCAATCCTACTCAAGGAGGAGCCCAACACGCCCCACTCGCGTTTTCCCAAGATTCCGCACAGGAGGGAATGCCTCCTATGCTCGCGTTCAACGGAGCGCATTTAGCCTTGCGCCAAACATAGGCAAGGCATCATGGTTATCAGAGCAGTTCACATCATGCAACTACTCCGGCAACTTCTAAAGCCACTCAAGCTCATTTGCCGAATCTCAAACTCATGCAGCTGCAGTGCAACAACGTGCAATCCACAGGATACCCTGAAAAAAGAGACCCACGCAACTACGATAATATATACATATATATATATATACAAATAATGCTTAATGTGTGTTTACACACACATACAAACAGAATTGGCCAGGGTATATACAAGCCATACATACTCTTTTAGAGACCTGCTTGCCACCCCGAATACGCAATATGGAGGAAGTAGCATTTGAAGCTGCTGTACGCTGTCAAGCATGCGTTCAAGTTCAGAATTCTTGAGCGGCGCAATTCAACACGTGGCATACTGCTAGCTGCAGGCAAGACTACAGAGGACCTGGGTACGGAGCGTTGGCAGCCACTTGGCCGAGCTCAGTCATTCTCACGCTTTGCAGTTTCCCAGCCCCAATGGCCTTCTGAAGTTTCCCGATTAGTTGCCTTAGCTTTGTTGATGCGAAGGTGACTGCCGTATCCACCAGCTTCTTGTCTCAATTGGGAATGTGGATGTCGTGCGTGTTGGGCTAATCGAGCGTCACAATGAGTTTGCAAGTGCAACTTGTGAGTTGAGGTAATATCTTTCGCAAGGGTAACACTTGCGCCACTCTCAGAGCTGCATTGAGAGACTGACACCGACTGGACCGAGCGTTTTGGAGCGACACGGTGGTGAGGCCCTGCATACCTTGTGCCACAAGGGCCGTCAAAGTATTTCTCATGCAGCCCGTTGCCTGTGTGTCTCTCAAGCTTTGACCTTCCTTTCCTGGTAGTGGCATCTGCTAGTAGAGTCAGATTCTCATGGTGACACACACACACCCCCGTTTCACCGAGCAAAAGCTCAACACATAGAGTCTCGGACAGGGCTTAGCACGGCTTAGCAGGGCTTGGCAGGGCTTTAGCAACGCTCAGCCCCGCGACGCGTGACAGTTAACTTCGAAAGGTTTGCAGAGCGATAGTTGATGCATGCTCGGATGGTCTACACAAGGTAGCTGCATGGGTTTGCAATGTGCGCCCGGGCCGTGCTCGAGTTTTTTGGCAAGGCAATTGGGCAAGCTATGGATTTGCAGCCTTTCACGCTCTCTTTCTTATCTTGCTTTATCCACGCAAGTGGTGACTTTGCCAATCGGCACTAGGGCACAGTTGGCCCTCGGTGCCTTGCGTGCGGGATCTCGGATACAAAGGGTCTGCCAAACCCCAGCCTGAAGTCTCGACTCAGGTGCCATGGGCGCACAGCGACCTACCTGCACCATGCTGTTGGTTCCATATCCGTGACCGACAGCTTAGGCCGTTCGAGCTGTTTGTGCGAACGCCGGCCGAGATTGTTTTGCAATTGGAGGCCCGTGCTTGGGCCCGGGCTATGTTGCGGACCTCGTCCCTGTGATTTTTCCATGGCACATATTTTGAACAAAGAAGAGCCGTCTTTTGCATGCAGGTGCAGCCGACCGACACCGTGGAAGAAGTGAAGGCTTGGGTTGGGTTTTTCTTTTCTGAGCTGAGGTTTGCTCAGCTTTGTTCCTTCAAGTGGTGTCCAGGCCAGAATTGCGACTCTTGAGGGCACGCCAGCCCGCAGCTTGCGGAGCTTGGGCTTTCTGCGGGAGGCGAGCAAAGTCGAAAGTAGCTCAGGTGGAGCGGCAGAGGCTGATGCGGCAAGGTGCTCCGCTGACCAACACCCGCAGTCTGCAGGACCGCACAGCTTTGCGCCATGCGTGTTTTTTTCTTCCTTTTTTGGGGATGGGAAGATATGGCAAGGCTTGCGGCGTGGCATCCGGGCTGAAGCCTCAGTTGGGCGTGTGGTTGGTGTTGGTCAATTTCAGCATTTGGAACCAAGACAATTGACTGTAGCTCCTTGCCTTGCCTCGTGTGAGTCGGCTAGGAGTGTCCTCCTTTTGGTGCCGCGGCTTGGAGAGCCGAGCGCCCGGACACGTTGGCTGAAGCGCGCCGCGCCGTGCGTCTCTCAGATTGGGGCAGCGCAGCTGTGCTCCGCGCCGTCGGGCCCTGGGGCCCTCCAGGGGCCCTGGAGGGGGGCCCCTCCAGGGGCCCTCCAGGGGCCCTCCGGGCATTTCGTTTCTCGTGTCTCGTTTCGCTCAACGCTGAGTCCCGGAGCCCAAGCCAGCGTCTGGCATCCCGAGACCACGCGTCCCACTAGCGGGACGCCCAGCGAACTCGGACTTCGCATTCACCAAGCAGATTCTCGCATGCGCCACGTGCGCCACGTGCGCCACGTCTATGCCTTCGCACGCTAGGTCTGTACGGACATTGCGCGGCCCTTCCCCATGAGCCTGGAGTTCGTGAGCGTGGCCGAGTGCGCCGAGCGCGCCAAGCGCCGCTCAGTGACTCGGATCCGAACCCGATCCTCTCAGATCCCATTGTCAGATCTCTCAGATCTGCAGGTATCAATGCTTCATGCTCGCGCTTCAGCGCCAGGCGCGGACAAATCCCGTTGCAAGGATCGCATTCTGAAGCGGTGTTGTACGCTCACCCCCCCCCCCCCATGAATTGCCTTTGCAGCATTTTAGCAGGCCAAAAACCTGCATAGGGGCGAGTCAAATTCCATTTGAGTTGCAAGAAACTTTAACTTTGATTAAAACAAATTTGGAATGGAATTCCTGCAGAGATTCTACATCGAACTAGACGTCCAAAATGAATTTATGCAATGAACTTTGGAAAGGATCTCGTGCTTGAACTCTCAATCAACATAGACATTCAAGTTCATTGTGCCATTCTTCAGTTCCTCAAAAAGTCCAATTCAATGTTTAGAGTCAAGTCTCATTAAAATGAGCTGACATTTGAGTCACAATTAACACAGTACATATTTGAATTCTCCTTTGTGAAGTTCTATTCATGGAAAGGATGTCTTTTCCTTGTTAAACTCTGTGTGGTTAATGTTAATTTAAGACCATATGTGGAAAGGAATAGACGTTGTAATTGAATTCGTTGCTGCTTAAAGTCTATTTACATTCAACTTAGATGTCAACCATAATCCAATTTGGTATTAGGAGCCTTACAAGGAGCCCTGAAGGGAGCTTTATAATGAGCTTTAACAGGAGTCGCGTAAGGAGCCTGAAAGGCAGCTTTTCGAGGAGTATAAGGAGCTTCACAACAAGCTTAAAGGAGCCGTGCAAAGAGCTGAAAGACGAGCCTTATCTGAGCATGCGTGCTAGAAAGTACAAGCCCTGGAGCCTGCGTGGCAGCCACTGTGGCTTTCGCCTGACCGCTTCCCGGCCCTGGAACCCAAGACCCAGCCTGTGTGTGCATCGCCTCTGTTGTTTGTATCCAGGGCTTCAATGTACTCTGGCTCTATGATCATAGGCTCAAGGCCTTGTGCCAAAGGGCCAAGGCAGGTGCACACACAGACGAAACCTGCTCGAAGCTTTGTGCAACCGTGCTTCTAGCATGCAGTCATCCGTGCAAGACTGTATCCATCTTGGCTTGATCTTCACCCATGTGCCACTCCGGTGTGACAACTCGGATGTGCTTAGTCCATGTTCTCAGTGTCGCAAGGGAAAACAGATGGATGAATGTATTGCGGTAGTTGTTGATCGCCTCAATGCGCCCTGCGTGTGACTGCATCATCTTGTTGATCGCGTATTCATGTCATGACTCTCACGTCCTCGCAAGATGTCCTTTGCAGTGTTGCAAGAGCACCTGTTGATTTACCTTGCGCGTTGTGACGATATTTCTTTTGACCAGTTGTTGTGTGAAGAGGTATCGCAGTCTGCGTGTACCCTTATGTTTGTGCGTGCTTCGAATGTCTCCTTGATGAAGTTGCTGATGTAGAGGCTTTCCTGCGCTGCCGTGCCAATCGCGACAGGTCTGACTCTGCTCATGAGTGCTATTGTTGCTTGTGTTCGGCTTCCGTAGTGTATTGATGCTCCAAAGAAGATTCTTGTTGTCTTGAACGATGCTCAGTTGGCATCTGGCTGTGGCTTCAAAATCATGTACCAAAATGGCACCTTGGTAAATGCCACCAAAGACTGAAACCAGCGTAACCCTAGCTCGCTAGTTTTGAACCACACCCATCTGTGTATATGTCGATGTTGGGTGCATGTTGTCATGCGTGATTCTTCCAGTATAGGTCGGGCGAAAATCGCTGACGTCGAGCATCGCCAAAGTCGCGGAGGCGTGTCCGGAAGGCGGCTTAGTGCTAAGCCCCGCCCCCGTGTGAGGCCGACGAGAAGGCACCCTTCCTGGAGATCCTGTTGCCCGACATGCGACCTCCCGCTTTGGCCCCTAGAAGGCTGAGGGCACTGAGGGCACTGAGGGCACTGAGGGCATACCTTGTGGTTTTGAGGTCCAGACTCGGGTGACCTTTGACGAAGAGACAGAAGTGCGGGCCCCAGGTGATGTGCTGTGCAACTCAGAGCTCGGCACGCGTGTTGCAAAGGTACTGCTCATCGACACCGTTGGAGATATCCTGATGGACAATGCCCAGCTCTGAGAAGTAGCCACACCAGGTGTGTCAAGCTCACCGCCAGGCCCAGTATCGTGTGCTGCTGCACCTGAAAGAGGACCGGCAGCGCGACCGACCTTTGAGTGACCTCTTCGGCTATTCTGTCACGCGTTTTTTCAAGGAGCAGAAGTTCGCGCTGCTGGTAACGGGCATCCGCCCTCATCAGCCGGGGATCTCGGGAATCTCGGATCGGATGCGCGGAAGCTGGGCCCAGGTGAGGCGCCTCGAGTTTCACCCAAGCTGAACGGCGACTCGTGCCGCTTGCGCCGCTCAGAAGCCCCGCTTGCGCCGCTTGTGCCACTCAGAAGGCGTCGGATTCGCAGATTGGCGATTCGCTCCGTGTGCCTTGCTCAAACCCGTATTGAGCAAAGCCTGGCACTGCATCCATAGATCTTTCACAGATTTTGGGTATTTGGGTCACCGGTCCAATAGAGCTTCAGCATGGGCCAAATCTGTGGGCTTGCAGCTCAGCCGGTGCCAGCTTGTGCGATGTGCCTCGCGGCCTTGCGTTTGGTTCTGGGAAGGCCCGGCGTGCTGTGCGATTTGGACAAGGCCGGACCTTGTGCAATCCAGGCGGAGTGTTGCCGGAGGGTTTTTCGGCTTCGGGTGCTTTGGGTGCTTTGGGTGCTTTGGGTGCTTCGGCCGTTTCATTTCGGGCTCAGGGCGGTCGATGGCCAGTGGCTCAGTTTGCGGCTATGGGAACTTGGAACGGCTCAAACGGCTCGGACAAATTCGTATTTCATTCTCCGACTTGAGGACCGATGAGGCCAGTGAGAACAGGGAGAGCGGTTCATTGTGCTTGACTCATTGACTGTCCCTCAGGGTGGCCGGAAGGTCGATCAACTCGCACTGGAGCTGCGCATGCTGAAGGCAGGAAGTGGAGAAAAGAGAAGCTGCCTTGGGTTGATGTGTTGGGTGCAGAACTTACGGATATTCCCGAGCAAACAGATGCCGGAAGTGCCGACTCCAAGAGACGCCTGCGAGACGTATTCCCAGGATGAGAACTATCGGATACGCGAGGAGCAGCTGCGTTTGGAGAAAGAGCTCCGATCCATTCCTGCCTTCCACTCAGAAATGTGTCGGATTCCTTGGGATTCCTTGGGACTCCTATGGATTCCTATGCATTCCGAGGCAGATAGATCCCGTGCCAGAAGAGGCCGCACCGCCCTCCACTTCCACCTCCGCCATCTTTCTGCCAAGGCTCAACGAGACCTGGACAGGATCAGGTCATGTGCGCGGCTTGCACTTGCAAAAGACTGGGTGCGGTTTGCTTTGCTCCGCCAGGTACATGAAGGAGGTGATTCGGAATCTTCAGGCGCGTCCTCCTTCCGACGCATTTCGAGGGGCGCTTTGGGGGCGCTTTGAACTCGGGGCCCCTTGGGGCCCCTTGGGACCCTCCATCTCTTTGGGTCTTTGCAGGCTGAGAACTCGCGGCTTCGGAGAGATAACGACAAGTCGGCCCAGTTTGAGTCGGCTGTCGGCCCAGATTCCGAGAGATTTCTTGAGGCCGGGGGTATGCTCTCGCTAAGGTGAATGCTTCGCCAACGGCTGTCAGCGAGGTCCGTGATTCTCACGGGATGTTCACCCGGTTTCTGTTGTCGCCCCAAGTGGCCGAGTCCCGTTTCGAGGTGGAGTATCGCCAGCTCGAAGGGCAGCTGCCGCTCGCTTCAAATTCAGCGTGCCAACACAAAGTAGGGCCATGCCAAGGCGGCAAGACCATGTCTCAAAAGGCACATGAAGCCATTGCCATTGGGTCTGGTATGTTTGACTCATCCCTGCGTGAGCCTTGCCAAGCTCCTCCAAGTCATGGCTGCTTTCAAAGCTGTCTCCTGACTGAAAGGCGGATGCTTCAGCACAGACAAGCACACCATGCACGTATGCAGGCAAGACTGAGTTGCGAGGGTCTGCAATGGGCTGCAGTTTGGTGTTCGCACAGGTTGGTTCTGCAGGGGTGTCCACTGCTGTCCGGCGCCCGTTGATTCTATTGCAATAGAGCCCACGCATCGCGTGAACTTTCCGCAAACTCGAGGTTTCTGGTGTCTCGACACCTCTCTCGATGTTGAATGAGGCAATGGCACCCTTGGCATTTGTTTCCTTTCACATTGTCTTTTTTTATTTCTTTGTTTCTTCTCTTTTCGCAGAGGACCCGCGGACGCGTCAAATGACGGCCCACTACGAGGCACTGCAGCGGGACCAGCTGGAGCTGAGGAACAAGGCGCGAGTGGAGTGTCCGAGCGGCGCGCGTCACTCGACTCGGGGAAGACGGACGGGGCCGATCCGGGCCCAGGTGCGCCGCTTGGCGCGGGGCTGAAGGGTAGGGCGGGCCGTTTCACCCGAAGCGTTTTCAGGCAAAGCGCGAAAGTGAGTGCTGCTCTGCGAGTTGACTCCCTTGCCCGGTTCAGATCATAGCCGTTGACATCTGAGTTTTCAAAAGTGGATCGCGCGGTTGGCTCAAGCACTAACAACAGACCAAATTCCACAGAGTTCAGGCTGGGAACTCAGCACGTCAAGGAAGCTTGGAGAGGTATTGGATGGGCTTTGGTCTAGATTTCCTGAGTCGCTCAGGATGCCGAGCACCATGCAATGACGGAGCTGCCGTGATTTGCGCAAGCTCTCATTCTATTTGGGCTGAGCATGCAGAGTGATTCTCCGCCACAGCTCCCTGTCAAAGGAGGGCGCGTGCTCCTCGGAGGAGGAATGCTCGGGACACAGCACGTGTCGAGAGCGAGAGACCGAGAGACCGAGAGACCCAACCGCCCAACCGCCCCAGGTTGGGAGTACCTAGATCCCCAATCCGTCAAGCGCGGCCCCTTCTCCCGCAATCGGATGCTCGTATTGGGCTCAGCCAGGAGGCTACGTATGTGTCTCACACGCGCGAGCTTCAGGTTTGGTACGAACACTCGCTGCTCCCGCAGGCCAGATCCCACAAATGGATGTGGGTCAAAAATGGGTACCCCAAATGCAATCGGGGTAAATGGAGACAAGGACTAAAGCCTGAGTGTTTGTGGTGGCTAGTTTTTGACCCATGGCAAAATAGTGTCCGCTGTCACGTATCGCCAGGAGCTGAAAGTACGCTATGAGGCGCGCATGCCCTTTATACCCATCCGGGAGCCGCCTCCTCATATTTGTCACTTCCATTGGCCTAGTCATTTTGAAATTTTGGGAGTTTCGCCTTCGGGCTTCCTCCTTTCGGCCGTATTCCCCTTGTGGAATCCTTGCGCCCGAGGCTTTTCCATCCGCCGCTGAAGCCCTTCAAGTGCGCAAGCTGATTGCGTGACCTGTCGATGCACTATGCGCTTGGCTTGCTCGGTGCGTGCAAGCTCTCCGCAGCCTTTGCATAGGCTCAGGGCGCGGACAACGCAGTGCAATCCAAAGGTTCACAAACGCAGTACGCTTTACGCACTGCGACGTCGACTCGTCTCTTTCCAGCGCAATTCAGAGGCGGGGGCCTGAGATCAACTTGAGTTGGCAGTGAGACATGGACCCGTACAATCTGAAGATGCAGGCTTTTTGTGTGCCAACGAGCATGCTCGTCGCTCTCAGAACTGCAGGGCGAGCCGAACAAGCCACATTCTGGCAAGTCACATCAACCAGCTTAGATAGTCCATCGAAATGGACGAAGCAGCAGCTTGACGGAACTACACATCAGCCAAAAGCAGGTGTCCCAAACGATCCATCAATGAATCAAGACAAGCAACATTTGGATCCGAGCATGGCCTGAACGGTGCGGGCAAGTGTGCCCACATGTGTTGTGGGTTACTTCTGGCACGGATTCTTGCCAGGCTATGCATGGCTTCACCGCGGAGGAGCGCAAACTCCTGGAAGGCAGCAGCCGGAATCTCGGAGTCTCCGAATCTCCGAAATGCGAGGCACTTGGCCCATGGACTTGCTGGAGGACGGGAGAGAACGACGATCGCTTTTGGATCGGCCAAGTTCCGCATCGGTGAGCTGAGGACCCCTTGAGGCAGCCGCGCGTGGTGACCACGGCCGCGGAGTTCCTGCGTGAGGCACTCCCGAACTCCGAACAAACTCCGTGCCGAACTGCGATCCGAATGTTCCGAATGTCGAAGGTTCTGATTTCAGATCACCTGGGCGACTTCCTGGCCGCGCTTTCAGAGACTGACTCGAGACTCGAGACCCCCGTGACGCCCGTGCGCTCGTTTTTTCAGGTCCTGCCGCGAGGTGTGGAACTGCTCGGCCTGACCGAGGAGGCGCGCGGGTCTCTCCAATCCGGGTGAGGCTGGCGTTGCCCAGGCCGTGATGCCTGCGGACTTGCGAAAAGCCCTGGACAGCTCCAGCACGGCCCGTGCCCATCTGCCCATCACCTTAGCCGCACTGGAGTCCTTGAGGTGGAAGAGCTGCTGAGATACTTCCGGAGGGTGAGTGCCCGAGAGTGCCGCGAGAGCCTTCCGAGAGCCTCCCGAGAGCCGTCGCCTTCGTACCTTGTGAGCGCCTCGCGCGCGCGCCCCGGGCCGGAAGGCCCGAACGCCCCCGCTGGGGGGCCACGCGCTCAGTCTGTTGACCTCGGAGACCCTCACGAGATCTTGGAGCTTTGCAAACATCGAATCTTTTGGCAAGCGCTTTGTGGGGGATGGAGCGTGTTTCAACTCTCGTGATCCCGGCTGAAAGTACGAAAGAGCCACAGCCGGCAGCTTTCAGGATGAGAAGCTACTTGACAAGTACAAGGCGAGGTGGCGCTGGCGCGTCCCCATTTTTTTTACAAGCTTGGGCAAGCTCTGCCACGATGTGGCGACTGTGAGCCAATGTGAGCCACGGAGGCGGGTGTGGAGTACATCGATGAGACTGGCGAGCAGCGGATGGCGCTGCCGAAAGAAAGGTGAGGAATCGGGTGAGGGCCTAAGAGCTTAGCGAAGGGGGACGCTTTGAAGCGCAGGCGCAACCTGCGGGGCCGCATCGATGAGGTTCTGCGTCTGGTGGACAGCGGTGAGGCGATGTGTTTCCAAAGCTCAGCTTCTCTGAGAGCGAGAGCGAGCCAAGCAGTCCTCCAGGCGGACCCTCAAAGTCTCTACGTGGCGGAGATGCGGGTGTTGAACGCCCTGAAGCACCCCATCGACGGGGAGCTCGTGAAAACGGCCCGCGGCCCGGCCCGACGTGCACAAGTTGCAACAGCGCGTCTCAAGTCGAGTCGAGTCGAGTCGGAGGTGTGCCAGCGGGACGTGCCCGGTGCCCCAAGCGACGGAAGCGAGCTTCTTGTTGTTTTGTTCTGTCGCCTTCCTTCGTCCCTTCGTCCCTTCGTTCGTTAGGAAAGATGTCTTGGGGCCGTTGGCCGCCTGGACCTTCTACTGGGACCGCCATGATGAAGGCAGCCCAAGCACCCCATCCGACTGTGTTTCCAACAGACTCCCAGGCGTCTTCATCGGGAACCGCGGCAGTGGCAAAGGAGCGCGTGCCCCAAAGTTTTTGAGTGAAGGTGAAGCGAGTGAAGTGCTTCAGGTCCATGTAGACCAAGTGCTCTGGAGCAACGCAAGGAGCTTGGCGTGAACATTGCCGGGTTTTCCACGGGGTTTGCTCTAAGGGAATCTGAATCACTAAAGTTGTTGGCTGCAAAGATGGCTCAGAAGTGCGAGGTGCCAACATGAGAAGGCCCTTAAGTTCACCGCTTTCAAGTAGTTGCATGTATGATATCATGTATGTTACACTGTACGTTTCTTGAAGATTCTGGCACTGGGATCCGACTCGGGACTCGGGAAGGTCGGCAAAAACTGGCGCGGCTACAAGCTGGTTGCGGCGTGGCCCAAAGGAGCGGCTTGGCGCCCAGCGTGGCGGTAGTTGTTCCCGTTTAATTGAGGTGTGGACGCCCCACTTTAAGAGACTTTTGCACTTTTGCCCCGTTTGTCTTCCCTTTCCACGTTTGCTTGAAGCATTCTGGACAATTGCCACGTGTCTCTCAGCGTTGCCTTTGCATCGCGTCCACTTTTACGTTGCGTGACGACCAATCACTGTTCTGGCCACCATCATGATGCCGCAAAAGCAATTGTACGATCGCGCTGTTGACCTCATCATGTTGCTGCTTTGTCACCATGATGACCGCGTCATAGTGATGCTGCCTGGAGACAAGTGCTTGTGTTCTGAATGTGGTGAATGCCGGATGAGGTCAGCAACAAGATTTGCACGGATTTCGATGACCAGCTCTTCAGCCCGGGTCTTTGATGACCAGACTGACCAACCACGGGGGTCCTCTGCTGTTCTATGCTTCCGTTTGCAGCTCCCAAAGTATGCTGAAGCCTTGAAGCACCAGATGTTGCAGTTCTGTCGATGAGATATGCGCACATGACATGGATCGGTGACCGGTTAGGTGCGCTGTCGCCTGCCAAGCTGGCGGCCCTGCGGCAGGCCAGTCACTTCGCTGAGTCCCTCACTCGTCACTCTCTCTGCTCTCCGTTCCAGCCTGACTGGTGTCAACTCTCACGCTGTGTCACCTCTCACGCCTATCCTTCTAGTCCGAGTGTCCGAGTCTGGAGACAGGCGGCGAAGCTGGTGCTGCTGCGTCCGGGGGACGTGTACCTCTTCAGTGGCGGCACGGCGCACACCGCCCCTTGGTTTGCGGATGTTACGGATGTTACGGATTGCGGTTGCCAGCTTCGGGCCCGCCTTGCGCCAGGCCCTGTGCCTTTCGGGACTTGGCCTCAGCAGCTACGAGTCCATCGTGACGCTGCACCCGGCCAGAGGCCAAGAATGCGAATTTCAACAGACTTCCAACCTGAAGCGAACAAGAACTGAGAAGGTGTGAATCTTCCAAAGCGAAACGTTGCTTTGCTCAGCTCCACAGCGGCCTCTGCATGCAAACCTGCGACCGGAGCAGCCCATGCTGGTTGGGCACCAAGAGGGAGAGAGGGGCGTAGAGAGGGAGAGAGGGAGGTGGAAGGCGTCCGAACTGCAAGGAGCCTTTCTGGCAGTGGGGTGCGCTGCACAACGCATTGGCCATTCGATTCGCAGGCTGGAGGGCGCCATGCCCCGGAGTGAGTTTGAGGACATTCTGGAGGAGGCCGCGTGGAAGCTGTCTGGACACGAAAAGGCTATCCTGTTTGCATGAAAGGCTGCCGAGCAGCTCGAGCGGGCAGCGTCACAGCTGTTGAAGGCACGGAAAACAAAAGAGTGTGAGGCATTTTGGGGATTTTCTTCTGGATTCATTTCGATCCATCCCGATTCTTGCGCCTTCCGTGCCTTCCGTGCCTTCACGGCGATTGGTGTCGGTGCCCGACATTTGTGAGGGCGGGCCCGGCGTGGCCGGGGCGCAGGAGGTTGAGCCTTCGCCGCGGGCATAGTAGGGACGCGAAATGCAAGAAGAGACTCAGAGAGGATTGCAAGTTGAGAGTGCGGCAACGTGAAGTTGGCAAGATTCAAAGCTAGATGCAATGCTCCGAGCTCCAAAGAGCGCGAAGGTGGCGGGAGCTGCGGCTGCAGCTGGTGAAGGACGGGCCCATGATGCGGCGCCTGCAGGAGTACTTCGCCGCTACTGTGGCGCTGGGCCTCTCAAGGAGAGCAAAACATGGGACTGATGCATAGCATGCTGCTCACTGGCAAGCAAAAGTGATCAGTGAAAACCTCACCCCAAATGTTATCTTGGATTTTGGGATGATGTTTGCAAAACTTTGCCATAGGGTGGAGGAGCTTGTAGTCTTCCGCCTCCTGTCGCTTGCTCATAATGCATAGCAACATGGGTAGGGCCCTTGAAATGTTTTGCAGGCCGGGCAAGGTCTCTCGCAGAACATTGAGAAGCTTCGCTCTTGGATTGTCCGTAGAGACGTGCAGTGCCTGTGGCTGGCAAAGAAGCTTCTAAGCACCGCGCGACCGACTCAGTGCTTTCATCCATTGCGGGCAGGAGCCCCAACACTGCTCCAGTTCTGCCTCTCACCGAAATGACACGCTTGTAGCTCAGGCTGTCGCCGAAAGGAAAAGCTTCTCGAACGTGCAAAGGGTCTGAACATTTAGCTTGCCCCACAATCGATAGACACACCCGGAAGGTGCCATCAACGGACAAACAAGCACATTCTCTGCCTTGCACAGCCTCAACAAACAAGACGTTTCGATCACCAGCTAGAGGTGTGGCCTGGAAGAAGATTTGTCAGCCGGTTGGCGGCCGTGATAGAATCCAACATGAATCGCGCCAGATGCTTTTCGCCTAAGGCTGAATACCATGCGTGAACTCTCCCTGCTACTTACATGTGGTTTTATTATTCTCAGCCTTCCTGTGCTGCAGGAGCATCTCGCAAAAAAGCTTCCGCAAAACTGTGTGAATACCAGATTTGCCCGACTTGTCTCGTAAAGCATGCCCGAGTTCGTAAGGAGAGCACATGAATGAGTTTTGGCCTGTTCGCATCTAGCAGCAGTCTAATGAAGGAAAGGTGCGGCTTGATTGCTTAACGAATAAGATCCGCACTGCGCCTCACAAAGTTTGTCTTGCGCTCAGTCGCCAGCATGTCCGATTCGTGCAAAGAAATGAGGACTCGGATTTGCTTCGTGCCACAGCTGACTTGCTTGGACGCCTTGTGGTACTAGTACATGCATCAAATGCCGTGCCACTCGGCTTGCGCGATTGAATGCTCGAAATGGACAAAGCAGACATGGGAACACGCCGCTGCGTTGGCGTTTGCCTCGTCGCGCTCTTGCTAAAGCCTCGCGTGTCTCCGCTTATTCTTGCAATGCTTGGTCTACCACGTGGCCTTCATCTAGGAAACCCCCGAGCTGCCTCATGTTCCAGCTCTGCGCCCGCAAGACCAGCTAACGGGGCCGGCGCTTTCTCATCGCTGACACCAACGATCTCACAGTCCAAACCTGCAGCCAAGTCAAGTAAAGGAGCTTGGTCCGAATCCGTCAATGCATAAATGCACGCTGCTTCTGAACTTCGGTGCCGCGTGTTGCTATCAACTCCATGGGCAAGCGCTGCCAAAAAGCGTTGCCTGCAAGAACTAGCGTTTCAGTAGTGTCCCAAACAGTCACTTGCTCAACTGCGTTACCCTCTTTGACCCTGCTACGCAATGTGGAGCAGCGCCGTTTTCCAAATGTAGAATCCATTTCCCGTGCGGGACATTGCCTTGCAAAAGCGCAGGAGAAAGCGGGCAGGCGAACAGAGCATTGCTACGTCCGACACCCTCAGCTTTTGTATCTATTGGCTTGCGCGGTCGGGTCCTGAAGCTTCAAGCAATCTTCACCGAGCCGCAAGTCCAATAGCATGAGGGATGCAGTTGCTTGGCTGTCGTAAAACATGATCTTCAGGAAAACGGGCTGAGCGAAGAGCTCCCTCCCGAGGCAGCTCTTCAACTGTCACGCGTTTTTGTTTATGAATGCACACATTGAGCTGCAGTTTTGCTGCTATATGTTTCTCGCATTCCTTGCATATATCGTCCAGCAAAGCGCCTCGCTGTTTGGAAATCCGAACACCATCATAGTGCCCTCTAGGTTTCACATGCTCAGACAAGTGGATCGCCCATTCTTGTAGAAGCTTCGTTCACTGCAAATACTGCGACATTTTCTGCACTTTCTGCATGAAGTCTTGGCCGTGAAAATGCTGTGGAAGCGCCCCACCATACAGCGCTGTGATCAATAGCTGCTTGCCTTCCGACACTTCCACATGAATGCTCTTGCACACCTCTGTTCTCTTGCTCACGCACATTTCAAAGACTTCCAAACCTGAAGGCATTGCCACTGGCTGTAGGCGAAGCTGTAGCAAAACCGTGAATATGCAGTTGTGAATGTCGTCATGAGTGTCTTGCAAGAGATACAGTTGCGCTCGTCTGCTGAACGACTGTCTTTAAGGAGAGAGCACCGATTGTGGTTGCGGTCTCGTTAATGTTCCTGGATCTATTTAAAGATCCAATGATGTGACAGAGCCAACGTCGCCAACAGCTACATCACCAACGCATCAGAAGAGGCCATCGCGGGCAGCGTCGTCACCAAGAAGGGAACGAGACGGCGCCGTCGCAGAAGAAAGAACAGGCAAGCGACAGCGCAGCAACGGAGCTTCGACGCAGTCTGCAGCCATTGTACACCTTTGCTTTTTCGCGCAGCCTGGGTGCCACGCAGTGGCAGACATTCTGGGTGCCGGCTCAGCGCAACCTTTACGATGACACAACAGTGCTGATCTTGGGGTTCAACATGGCCAGAAAGCAACAGGAAACATCATTGTCCATTTGGATGCATGGCGCCAGGAACAGCGATCGCAGGTCTGCGCTTGTGCTTCACAGACGAAGAGTACAAGCGTCGCCACTAGGTTGCGTTCCGTGGTGACTGCGGTAGGCCTTTCCGGTGCTGAACACACGCCCGCGTGACAGCGTCCTCGCAGCCCTGTGTTGCATGAGCGAGAATAGGCGTTGCGGACGTCGTGCGTTTGATCCTGGCCGCGCCCGGAGATTGCCAAAGCAACCAGCCGGGCCTATATCATGGTACACGAACAGTTTCAGGCACATCCGGGATTCAGACACAAGCCTGAACACCATGAAGAGCAGGTTCCAGCAGATTTGGAAGATGGCACCAACATCTTCAAGAAGCACACGTGGAGAAGTGGGTGCGTGGTGACGCGCAAACCACGTGACAGTATATCATATCGCCTATTCCAATGAGCACATGGCCAAATAATACATACCGCAGCAGCACTGAGTATAATATTATACAGGAGGCATACGCAGCGGACAGCCCTCTGAAAACAGATTTTGCATTGGTCGGAGATCTGGCAATCTACATCATCCTGAACAACAAAGATGATAGTTCAGCTGACACGCAAGGAACGCATCGAGCACAAGCTGAGGAGAAAGTGCAGCGCGTCAATTAAACAACGCTGCCGCGCTGTCGCGCAAAGGTCATTCACTTCAGGTGAAACAGGCCGCCCTTTTATTTGAACATGAGCTATAAAATGAACAGGTAGAAAATATGTGAACTAATGAATCAATATGTCTGACAAAAGCAAGCCCATGATAAAAATAAGTAGAGAGATAGGTACACAAGTATATATATATATAGACCGTGAGTACACGCGTTGCGCCCATTGCGAGTGCGCGAATTCGGGGGACGGGGGCAGGAGCCGGTTCCTGCGGGAGAACGCTGAAGCGCCCGTGAAGCGAGCGCTGCGGCACCTGACGCACGGCAAAGGCGACACGTTTCTTCGACGTGTGTCCAAGCCGGGCGCATTTGTGGATGGTCATGCGGGTTCTTAAATAGTTCGTTTTCTTTGACGCAGCTCCATGTGTCAAGGGGCCCTGGTAGACAGATTTCAACAACAAGTCAGGGACTAGTCTCCGGATGTGCAATTTCGCATGCCGCAAGGCTTGCAATCTCCAGAGCGGTCAGGGCGGTCAGAGTCAGCCCCCCAGACATTGCGCCAAGCACGAACAGCTTCAAACCTTGGTGTTTGCCCTTGCAATTCACCTGGCTTGAGTTGGGTGTTGCCCTGTCAAGGTCGCCAGACCGGGATGCCCGGGCGCCGCCTGACCGTGCCCGGGCCCAAGAAAGAAGGACGCCTAGTTGTGACATACTTCGCAGTATCATTCAGAATCACAAACGAAGGGTAAGGTGTCATAGACTAGGAATTTGTATTTGTAGCAAGGGATGGTGAGAAATGAAGGAGGCTTTATGGCAATGTCATGTAGTGTAATGCAGGCAATGTAGGGTAGCGTATCGCAATTTCATGTACAACAATGCAAATGTAGATGCGATCCTACTACCAGAGTAAATGTACTGCAATTAATTGCATGAAGCGAATTGTGTGACGCATATACAATTATATAAGTGTTAATGCAAACCCATATGCAATGTGATGTGACGGAGTGTATGTATTGTATTGTGGTTGGTGTAGTGCACTGAAAATCAGGTTTGTTAATGCACATGTAATGTGGTGGACATGCGTACAAATATAATGTATACTTGTATATAATATATGCACATTATGTACACATTGCAGCTATCCAAAGTTCATGTGACTCACTGCAATGTAGTTGTAAGGACAGTGACCGTAAATATAGTTTGATGCAATCTACGGTGAATGAAATGTCAACACACATTCAATGCAATGCAATGATGAACATGTAATGCAATGCAATGCAATGGAATGCCGCAGCCATGCGGCGCAATGTACTGTACTGTAATGTATGGTGATGTGCGCGTGCGTGTGAATATTCACACACACACACACATGCAACCAACGTCGTGTAACACAACGACATGTAGTGTAACGCAATGCAAAAAGACGTAACATGATGTGCACACTTTGCATTTGTACAGGATTATATCACATATATATATATATACGCATACATATATGTACATGCGTGCTTACATATAGAGATTAGGCTGTCAAACCTATGTTGCGCCCTTAGGTGAGAAGATCCCGGAGCCCACGCGGCGCGACCTAGCCAGGAAGCCGGAGATTCGCAGTTTCGGCATTTCTTGGGAACGTACGCATTGCCCAGGAGCTCCAAGGCTTCACGCCGGAGAGACTTCGCATTCAATCCGGTTTTTCCCTTGTGGCGAGGCTCGCATGTCATCTTGGTTTTGAATTCAGATTTGAATGTTACCCTTGTCCATGGCCCACAAGAGGACTGAATGATCTGTTGGAGCAAGCCGATCCCTGCATTTTCTGAAAGAAGACAAGCCTGGTGCAACAAGAGCCCTGGATGACAGAGCTTGCCTCATTTCCAGTTAGGCCTCTCAGCTTGGTTTCAGTCTTCGGGCCTTTGTGAACTCGGAAGCCGGGCGATGCGAGCCGATCAAAGACTTGCCAGATGCCAAAATCGAAAAGCGTGCGCAGTGCAAGCCAAAGACGCAGCGCGAGCGGCGAGCTTCGAGCGCGTGCCGCCACTCCGAACGCGTCCAGGTCAAGGCCAAGACTGGCGCCCAATGAGCCAGCACGCCTCTGAGTCTGCGTCGGGAACATTGTATTCGCCCTTCCATCTCAAGTATCCACCCAAAGAACAACTTCCGCAGAAGGTCCGTTCGCAAGAAACTTGTATTTTCTGGGGCCTGCGGCCTCTAGCCGGCTACGCCTCTTTGAAGTTATGCTATGTCATGTCATGTTTTTTGTATGAGAAACGTATCCTGTGCTATGATATGGCTGGTTAGGTTATGCATGTTGCCCACCCCAAACCCAGATGATGCCGGTGATGCCAGCTTTCTGGGCCCTAGCCGAGACCCAAATCAGAAGGCTGACATGGGGTCGCGCGCGCGCGCCAGAGGCCGCAGAAACAGCAGCCCAAAAAGAACTGCCCGCAAGCCAGCCCGGAAACGCAAAAGCAACAAAACACCGTAAAGAGCAGCGTTTTGTGGCTGGGGTTGCGCGCGCGCGCCAGAAGGCCCGAAAACCAAAGCGACCGCGCAGCACGCGAGCCAGCCACAGCAAAAGCAAAACGGACAGAACAACAGCCCGCCGCTCAGCACAGCAGTTTTTGACGGTATGTACAGCGTTTTGTAGAGCGATGACCCGGCAGCGCTTGGCGCCAAAATGCGCGAAAATGAGCCTCGCTTATATCCCTCCGATATCTTTAAAAAAAACAGTGCTTTTTGGGTTGAGAGGCTTTTTGGAAGGAAGTCTTGATGATGCAGACCAAGCCCCGCTGAAGCATCACACAGGCCCAACCCCAGACCCTGATGATGTCAGCCACATGGCCTAAACCCTGCGTATACGCGATGTTTTGCAAGGGTTTCCCACAGGCAAGCAAAACCGCAAGCCCGAGCTGGTGATGCAGAGGTGCCGGATTTGGGCCACGCATCACGACCAAGTGACGAGGGTCGGCGGCGCCAGGGTGCAGCCCCTATAGCTAAAAAGCTAGCAGGCAAATTGCCATTGCCTAGCGGCGACATGCTACCCCAGGAGGCGTAGCCGGATTTACGTTGCTGGCGCACAACCGGCCGCGGCAGCAGCGTGACGCTGAATTCCACATAAGATGGAAAGAGAATAAACATTCTACGGCTTTAAGATTTGAAGGTTTCAAGGGTTTAAGGTTGTACTTCTAAGTTTCAAGTTTTTAAAGATGTTAAATTTACAGATCTTACGATTTTAAGATCTTAAGATTCGACTATGTTCAGTCTCTGCAGTTTTGCAGCTTTTGAAATTGTAAGACATTAGTTCTTAAAAGCTTAATTTCTTACAATCTAAAAAGCTGCAAACCTGCAGGAACTGAACATAGTCGAATCTTAAGATCTTAAAATCGTAAGATCTGTAAATTTTAGCATCTTTAAAATCTTGAAACTTGAGAAGTAGAGTTACAACCTTGCACCCTTGAAACCTTAAAATCTGAAGGCCGTAGAATGTTTCTTCTCTTTACATTTAAAGTGTGAGAATAATAGAATCACAAAAAAAGGCAGCCCGAGTCTCCGCAGACAGCCCGAGCATCCGCAGACCCCGGGGTCTACCTCAGAGACCAGCATACAGGCAAGTCCCCAAAGAAAAAAATGAATGTCCGCAGACCCCGCAGTCTACAAAAGCGCACAAACACACAAACACGTACAGACACACAAACACATACAGACACACGCCCACAAAAGCGCACGAACACACAAACACGTACAAACAAGTACAGACACACAAACACATACAGACACAAGCCCACAAAAGCGCACAAACACACAAACACACAAACACGTACAGACACACAAACACATACAGACACAAGCCCACAAAAGCGCACAAACACACAAACACACAAACACGTACAGACACACAAACACATACAGACACAAGCCCACAAAAGCGCACAAACACGTCAGAGGCCGACATACCGGAAAGTCAAAGGAACGCTGCCCAAGGAAACAAGAGCCTACCAAAGCCAGCCAAAGCATCCACAGACCCCGGGTCTACCCCAAAGGCCAACATACAGGACAGTGACCCGGCGGAAACGGCAGCCCTTGAATCCGACTGGCCGAACGGCTGTGTCGGATCCTCCCCCTTGGTCCTTTGGAGCAAGGCTCTAGAGCGAAGCTCTTGGGGGCTGCCGCATGGTGCCGCCGCATGTCGACGATGCGGACGGGGGTCCGTGAAAAGGAAAGTGATGAGCATTTTGCGCTGCGCCCGCCCTACTAAGGGGCGAAGGATTGGCGGGCGTGTCTGGGCGAGAATTCCGCGGATTTTTGCGCTGCTTCTGGGGGTGCGCTTTCTGGCATGTTTGGGGCCGGCTTTTAATCTTCAGGCTTGGGCTTGTGGGTCTGCAGGCCCGTGCCGGTGATGCAGATGATGCTGGGGATGCTGGGGATGCCGGCCTTTGGTGATGAAATCTCAAAGTCTTAATTTTGAGAATAATAGAATCATAAGAAAACAATCTTAGAAGACTTTAATCGTAAAAACTTTAAATCCGCAAATTTTAGAACCTTAAGCTTAACCTCGCAAAACAGTAAACTAGTACAATCTTAACAAAGATTTTAAGATTGTACTAGTTTATGGTCTTTTGGAGGAAAAGCGAAATTTGAGGATGTAAAGATGTTACGATTAGAGTGTTCTAAGATTGTAAAACTGTAAGATTGAGGGTGTTCCTTGTCGTTTTTGGGGGGACTTCTCTGCATGCTGGTTTGTGAGGTAGATTCCGGGGTCTGCGGACGCTGGGGCTGCCTTTGACAGTGCTTCTTTTTTTTGGGGGGGGGGGGGACTTGTTGGTTTGCGAGGCAGACGCCGGGGTCTGCGGATAGGGCTGCATTTGGTAGTACTTTCCTGTACGTCGGTCTGGGAGGTAGACCCGGGGTCTGTGGATATTCGGGCTGCTGTTGGCAGTGTTTCCTTTTTCTTGGGGGGTCGATTTTGGGGTCTGTGGTCTTTCGTAGTTTTTGTTTTATTTTCTTGGGGACTTTCCTGTATGCTGGTTTGTGAGGTAGACCCCGGTGTTTGCGGATGCTTGGGCTGCCTTTGGTAGTGTTTTTGGTGCTTCTTTTTGGGCGACTTTCCAGTATGTTGGTCTGTGAGGTAGACCCCGGTGTCTGCGGATACTCGGGCTGCCTTTGGTAGTGTTCCTGTTTGTTTTTGTTTTTTTTCGACGTTCCTGCATGTTGGTGTTTGAGGTAGATCCCGGGGTCTGCGGATACTCGGGCTGCCCTTGGTAGTGTTTCTTTTGTGTTTTTGGGGGACCCCGTCAGTATGTCGGTGTGTGAGGTAGACCAAATACTCGGGCCAGTGCTGGCTTCTTTTTTTTGGTGTTCGGGGGGACTGTCTTGTATGTTGGTTTGTGAGGTAGCCCTTGGGGTCTGCGGATACTCGGGCTGCCTTTGGTAGTGTTTCTTTTATTGGGGGACTTTAATGTATTTTGGTCTTTGAGGTAGACCCCGGGGTCTGCGGACACTCGGGCTGCTGTTGGTAGTGGTTTGTGACCCCGGGGTCAGCGGATGCTCGGGCCGTTGGTAGTGTGTCCCTTCCTTTTTTTGCGCCGTTCCTGTATGTGCCTGTGGTTGGGTTTCTTTCCTTTTTTTTGGACTTCCTTCCCAAAAACGGACACCCACAGACACACACACACACAGACACAGACACATTCGAGATTGCGGAGCTGAAGCGGGACGCGCTGGCTTGTGGCCAGCCGTTTTTGTCGGTCTGAGAGCCCCAGCAGGAGGCCGTGCCCTCAATCGTTCCCCAGCAGAAAGTTTTTGGGCCGAAGGGCCCAATTGTTTGGAAAATCCTAGCTAAAAGGTGCTGTTTTGAGTGGGGCGATGTTGAAACAGCGAACAGAAATTCAGACATCCAATCACAAAGTCAGACACCCAAATGTCAGACGTCGCCGCGCAAAGAGTCAGACATCACCGCGCGAAGAGTCAGACATCGCAGCACGGAGAGTCATGACATCATAGCCGCTGACACCCGCCGCCCGCCGTGCGTCAAGATCACAACTCGCCGCCCGACACCGTGTCTGTTAGCTTGCACTGCTTGTCTGCTTTTCTTTCTCCTGCCTGGTGCCTGTCTGCGCGCCTGCTTTTTTGCTTGCTTGTCTGTTTGCAGGTCTTCTTTTTCTGCTCGTCTGCTCGCCTGTTGCTTGCCTGCGTGCTGTCCGGCCTGCCTGCCCTGCCTGTTTTCTTGTTTGCTCGCTTGCTTCGTGCCCGGGCAATGGCTTGTCCGCGTGCTTTCTTGCTTGCGCGTCTGCCTGCCGGCCTGCCAGCCTATTGGGCTATGATCCCTGGAGCTGCTTCAAGCGGAAACTGGCACAGCCGCCGGGCAAAGCACGCGGTGGAGGAGGACGCAGAAATCGAGAGCGCGCCGTCGTACTGCAGGCTGTGCCCTTCTTGGAAACTGCATAAGCCCAGCCAGACTCACCAAGCCATGATTTGGCTATTCTAAGCTGTTGGATGCACACTTCGAGGTGGCACATGGCACTGGCACACCACCCATGGCAAGCATTTCTTAAGCACTTCCAATGAGAAATGGCTGCAAGGTGCACAGGGGGAACAGAAGAGTCAGTTTCATGCCCTGAGCACGCGATCCGAGGGGATTGACCCGAGGATTCACCATGGCCGGGGTTGCGCGGAGACTGATCCGCGTACGCGTGTGCAGGCCTTGAAGCCGTCTCTTATGTTCTCCTCTGTTCTGGCAGGGGGGGGGTTGATGGGGGTGATGATGATGTTGGTGCGCTGGTGAT